GGAAACAATCAGAAACAAAGAAAATTACAATAACCGAATTAGAAAAAGCAGAGTCGCTCATATACAAGCACCACCAAAGGGTAGAGTTTGCAGACGAAATTAACGCCACAACTAGAAATAGAAACATTGACCAAAAGAATAAGTTAGTCTCACTCTGCCCGTTTCTCGACAAAGATGAAATCCTTAGGGTAGGGGGGAGACTGAGGTTCGCTGACATAAGTTTCAGTCAAAAACATCCAATTATATTGAACAAATCACATCTGGCGAAACTAATCATACGGCAAACACATGAAGAAACTCTCCATGGAGGCAACAGATTAATGGAAGCAAGAATTAGAAGAAAATATTGGATAATAGGCCTGAAAAACGAAATTAAAAAATGCGTAAGGCAATGCATAAAATGCACGAGATATCGACAACAAACTGCACAGCAACTAATGGGTCAAATGCCAGAATACAGAGTGAAAGTTTCAAGCCCTTTCACGCACACAGGGATTGATTATGCGGGCCCCATTCAAATTCGTGTTTCGAAAGGTAGAGGGAACAAATCCTACAAAGGATATGTAGCAGTTTTTATCTGCATGAGCACAAAAGCTATGCATTTAGAAGCAGTCAGCGACTTAACAACTGAAGCCTTTTTCGCAGCATTCAAAAGGTTTATAGCCCGAAAAGGGAAATGCTCTCATATATATTCAGACAACGGTACGAATTTTATTGGCGCAGATAGAAAAATGCATTTGGATTTTACTAACGCATTGAAACAAAACAGCATATCACCAGTATGGGAGTCAGAAAAGGTACAATGGCACTTTATTCCCCCGGCAAGTCCTCACTTCGGAGGAATCTGGGAGGCTGGTGTGAAATCAGTAAAATATCACCTAAAACGAGTAATAGGCGACACCACACTGACCTTTGAAGAAATGAGCACCTTGCTAGCACAGATAGAAGCCGTCTTAAACTCTAGGCCACTATACAAGATAGATAACAGCAACGAGTTTGACGACATTTTAACTCCGGGTCATTTCTTGACTGGCAAACCCATGTTAGACCCCCCAGAACCAATCGACGATAGAACAGTGTCATCGTTAGACAGATGGAAATTATTAACAAAAATGAAAAATAATTTCTGGAAAAAATGGAAGGAGGAATATCTAACGACCCTCCAACAAAGGTTCAAATGGACCAAGAACCTACCAAATTTGGAGGTAGGGCAATTAGTTTTTGTAAAGAGCGAAAACACCAGTGCGGCAAAATGGCCACTAGGACGAATAGAAGTAATTCATCCAGGGGAAGATGGGAAAGTAAGAATAGCTTCTATTAAAACTCAGAACGGCATAGTAAAAAGACCAATAGCCAAACTATGCCCACTGGAAACAGAAAATGAAAGGCCAAAACTACCACCAAAAGAACCTCAGAAAATGCCACTGATAAATTATATCATGATACTCTTAGCAACTAGCATAATAAGACCGATAACAATTGACGCAGGTTCTATTAACACGTCAGATAGAATAACAGCATTGGACAGCAACACCATGATTTGTATGGATCAAATCGGGGAAATGGATATCGTGTCTTCAAAATGGAACCTAATAGTGTATTATGATTTAACAACATTTTTTGAGGGAATGCGTAGTGTAGATAATAATGCGGAAAAGTTAATGGAGTTGTGTAAGAGAGCGGGTACTCATGAAGACGCATGCACCTCGTTAGTACTAATAACAAAGGCTAGGTTTCACCGGTTAGACAAGGGAAATGAATTCCTGATGAGACACGCCTTAACAAACACTACAAGAAACAAAAGAGCAATTGAAATGATCGGATCGTTACATCGAGTGTTATTTGGATCAATGGACGCACAAGATCGACGTGATATAGAAGCTAATATGCGTGACCTTTTTAAAAATCAGGAAGACATAGTCACACTTCATAAGAAGCAAACCTCAATCATTGATGCAACCATAAATTTAGTGCAGAAGGCTACCACTGAGTTTAATAATGGATTAAAATTATTTGGGAACCAAATTAACTCGATTGAAAAAGAAGTAGTTCAAGAAAGAAATGAGAACCGTGTAGTTTCAACAATACAAGTAGGGGTAGCCCAAGTAAACTTAATGATGGACTATTGTGAAGAGACAGTAAATGCCATTATCGACCTACTGGTCGATCTAAACCACGGACACATAAATCCGAAACTATTAACATTAGAACAATTAGGCAAGGAAATAGAAATTATTAGGGGAAAATTACCCCAACGCATGAAATTACCAGGTTCAGGCACAAGCGCTGAAATAAGAGAAATTTATAATCTATTAGAAGCACACGCAATGTTAATTGACACAAAACTTATAATCAATGCAGAAATTCCACTGTTTAAACAAGAAACATCTAGAATATACAAAATGATTCCGATACCTTTCGAACGCGAAGGACATGCAATAACTGTCCGCATTCAAGGCGATTACCTAGTTCACAACTTTGTTTTAGACGCATACGTACTGTTTAAGGCTACACAACTGAATAAATGCTCCCATCAGTTAAACAATCGACTGTTATGTAAGGGAAATTGGGCGTGGAGGTCGGCTAATGACAACTCATGTGAGATATCAGCATTTAAACAAACTAAGGATCCGTTTGTGAGTTCGCGCAAACATTGAAAGAAAACGTTTGGATTGAGTTAGCAAATTCGAACACATGGCTATTTAAGACCTTCGACAAAAGCGCATTAGAATTAAATTGTGGTTCACATCAAAGTTTGCCTTTACACATACCACAACAGGGTATTCTTAAACTCAACCAAGGTTGTACAGCTCGTTATGGAACTCATTTAATGATAGCAGGCCATGAAATCACGTCTCAGAGCGAATTGCACAGGGAAATGTCTCCAATCACAAAGGTCGTCGACTGGGTTGAGATGGACGAAGTCAGACCTTTAGCTTCCATTACAATAAATAATACTCGAGACATTACTATATTGAAACAAATAGTGGAAAAATACAAAAATGAAAACATCGAATTGAGGAGATTGAGTTATCACCAAATCAGTGGACACAGCTCACTAATTCTAATAGGGATAGGGATTGCAATAGCAACAATATATCTCATCAAAAAGAAATGTTGTTCTAGATCTCGAGCGATTAAAGTAGATTTTAATGTACCATCAATCAAACCAGCCGAGCAGATAGAGTTAGGTCACATGGGGATAAGTTAAACCAAAACTCAATGCATGATGAACAGCACCTTCTGGGAATTATAGCCCGCCGCAAAATGTTCACTAGTGAACATAGTTTTATGAATAGTACTGTTGCCACACTCAAAAATATGATCTGATAGTGAGACTCAATCCCAAGGAAATTAGACCAAGCCTGCGCGCACATGTGGCAGTCATAAATAATCTAAAAATATACAGTCCACTTAAAATACGAAGGAACAAACATACAACGTTTTGGGCCGCACGCACACATGCGCACTGCAGGTAGCCTCAACTAATGTCACAGTCGCATGTAGATATAGGACGCTCAACGACTAGATAGTGAGGAAAAGGGGAAATAGAGGTCGACCAATAGCAGCAGGACAACTAGACGATAAGAAGGGTGCGCATATGCACACATAGCATTGATAAATACTTGTAAAAGATAGCATTATATTAAGAATGAATAAGCAATAGCTGATAAGACAATTGTAGAACCTAATTTTAATGTAGATCGTAAGTGAAAATTGTATAAAAACCCGGCATTTGCCGAAAATAAATTGAGATCATCTTTGGAAATTCAAGCGTGTGTTTATTTCTAAGCCTTCTGGCGGAGCGAGTGATCTTGCTCTAGGTGATCTTCACTTGATGCGTATAGACTATGCATCACCCACAGTGTCACGGTGCCACAGGCAACAATAATTCAACTAATTATTTATATCATATTTATCTAACTCAATCCATATTTATTCTTTACAATGCCTTAGTTCTCCCTCACTCGAAAGTTTTGGTCAAGGCGATTTATGTATTTTTCTTAAAAAGTATATTCCAATAATGTGTCTGTGCAGGGTATATGCAAATAACATTAAGAAAACAAAGGTCCCTATACATAAGGTATGAACAAAACGATTGTCCAAGGCACATTAAAAACCATCATTATTCATTAACTCATTGCATTTTCATTATCAGTTCCGAAGATGGGCTTCATTTTCTTTATACAAATTATTTCAATTGATCAGTCAATACAAACGTGGTAATCTTTTTAAGCTTTATTTAGTCGCACTCGGCTTTTAAATGAAATTGTGATAATTTTACCTATACCTACTTATTTACTGAAAAATTTACAGCAAAATTCTTTATCACTAATTTAAGCAGAATTAGTTGGTGAAATTGTAAACGTCGACACTCACCTGTTACTGACAGTTGGCTTAAAGAAGATGTTAAAAAAATGATATCTCTCAAAGTTCTGTAGCACCTATGAATTTTTCGAGAGATTTAAAAAAAACCCTAGCCGAAATCTCTAGAGTTTTCTGTGGCACCCCGTATGTGTGACATTATTCTATAGTCATATATTTTCAAATCCATACACCAGTGTTATTAATCAAAATAGTGAAGGGACTGTAAATTTGTTAATATACAAAAACTCTCGCTTCAGTATTCACCCGGATATTTAATTTTTGAAAAGCAAGTATTCTGAGCAAGTATTCTTGAAATTTTGCTTTTAGTAACGTTAAAAAGTTGTCGATATTTTTATTGCTGTCATTGCTTCGAAAATTAATACTATTAGTATTAACTAGAAGAAATATCTTTATGCTTCTGAATGAAATCTACTAAACTTTGGCAACTTTGTCATTAATGGCCTCGAACTGTATTTCTCACTTTTTTAAAATACAGATAATATATCTGTTTAAATCCTATGCAATAAAAATAACCTTCTTACTTGTATTACTGGCCTCGGCCTCAGCAACAATTTTAAGCGTGCCGCATATTAATTATCGCTGTTTATAGCATGTGTGTGGTCAACCATAAATAGCTTACTCTATAAATGCTATCTGGAAAACACTTATAAGTACGTTGTGGGCCCAATGGTGAGAGTTTAAATTCAATTTGATATGTCACTCGATATGGAACTATAAGCCAAAATTGTATTGTGAAAATAAAGTATAGGAGCGAACGAACGAGCTCATACTCGTACTTGTGAGAATGTAAATGATAAGCCGTACACGTGCATGCTGAGCGGGCAATAGACGAGCGTGCGAATTTCTCATTAACAACTGATTAGGCAGCGCGCTCTGCGGCTGCTCTTTAAAAGCGGCAATGGAGTGAAAGTGTGAGGCGACGCTTCTCGCAAGTCAGTCGACTGCCGAACGTCGTGCCGGCAAAACGTGCCATTTATTGGTTGTTGTCTTCATCGTCTTCGTACTGCCCGCCGAGATACATTATTGCGCGAAAAAAACTACTTTCTACCGCAATGTCTCTCATCTGTGATTCAACCTTAGCAGCCAGCGGCTCTGCTTTAAGCGGTTCGCAGAGCAAAACTAAACAAACCGCTCGCATTGTTGTTATTGGCGCAGGGGCCGCGGGCATTGCGACCGCGACGCGTCTTCTCGAGGTCGGTTTCAAAAATGTGCTCGTGCTCGAGGCTGAGAATCGCGTGGGCGGACGTGTGAACACTATATCCTTTGCCGATAACGTTGTCGATTTGGGTGCCCAATGGTGCCATGGCGAGGTGGGAAACCCGATTTATCAGCGCGTCAAGGATCTGAACATGCTGGAGGTAACCGACGACGCCTACGAGTCTTTCAAGTGCGTGCGCTCCAATCGGCAAGTGTTGGATGATCGCACAGCCAATGTGATGAAAAAAATTGCCTGGGACTCGATACCTGAACGCCAGAAGGAGTTAACCGAGTTCGAGGGCTCCCTCGGCACGTATCTGACAGAGAAATTTTGGCGCGAGATGGAGAAATCCCCGCAGGTGGATCGCACAGTAGCGCGTGAATTTTTGGATAACTTCAAGAAATTTGAAAGCTCCGTTGAGGCGGCTGATAATTTGTTTGAGGTTTCAGGACGCGGCCACTTGGAATATTGGATGTGTGAGGGCGAATTGCTGCTAAATTGGCGTGATAAAGGATTTAAGACCTTTCTCAATCACCTACTCTGTGCGAGCGCGGATAGCGCCGATGATTTGGGCATATTAAATGGACGCGTTCAGCTCAACAAGCGTATTGCACATATCAATTGGCAGGGCGATGGTGAGTTGATTTTACGCTGTTGGAATGGTGAGGTCCTTACAGCTGATCATGTCATATGCACCGTCTCACTGGGCGTGCTCAAGGAGCAGCACAAACAGCTATTCTCGCCTGCATTGCCGCCGGCAAAGTGCCGAGCCATTGATGGCCTGAAATTGGGAACTGTGGACAAGTTCTATTTGGAGTTCTCCAAGCCTTTGCTACCCGAGGATTGGAAAGGCATTAGTTTTCTATGGCTGGATAAGGACTTGGAGGAGCTGCGCGGCACTGAGCTCTTCTGGTTGGAGAGCGTCTTCGGCTTCTACGGAGTCTCGTACCAGCCGCGTATCCTCCAAGGCTGGACAATAGGCGAGCATGCGCGTTATATGGAAACATTGACCGAAGAACAGGTGCTCCAAGGTCTGCTCTGGTTGCTGCGAAAGTTTTTGGAGTTTGAAGTGCCACCACCCAAACGATTCCTACGCACCCAATGGTATGCGAATCCCAATTTCCGCGGCAGCTACAGTTTCCGCTCCACCTACACGGATGAGTTGCGCACCGGTGCTTGGGACTTGGAGGCACCACTCTTGGATGTTGGCGGCAAGCCGCGTCTTCAGTTTGCCGGAGAGGCATCGCACAAGCATTTCTACTCGACAGTACATGGCGCCGTGGAGAGTGGTTGGCGAGAGGCGGAACGCCTGAATTCTTATTATCGTGCTCGCACAGCAACACTGTGAGGGCCGGGAGAAATCCAGGGAAGCGGAGAATGAGTTTTGATAGTAAAATATATCTGGCGATAAGAATAAAGAGAACCACAGCGGTATAGTAAATGCAAACGCTTGTTTATCTAAAGTGGCAATAAATTATCGACAAACACAACTTGGCGTATTCTCTTTATTTTTTTATTTTTTTAAATTTGTTAGTGCATGCATTTTTTGCAATTGCGACTAAGTACACAAACACAACTTACTCAGCAATAGGGGCTTAGTTTTTGCTTCTCATGCAAAAAGCTGAAAAAGTCATCCATATACATGTATGTATATAATAAATCATTTTTGTGAGATAGATGACAAAACTGAGATTGAGGCAACAACGTTGAACTTAAATATTAATTATTATTACTTTAAGAGTTGAATTGTCCAGAAAAATTCAATTTTTCTCTATAAGAATGATATTTACTCTGGCAGTTTACACAAACACATATACATATTAATGGCAAGCACTAACTCACTAAGAGCGCTTCTCGGCGTTTTAAAATCAACTTTAAAGAAAGGTGTATGGGCGCAAAAAAGGGTTACTCACTGGTCAATGTTTGGTAACCGCCCATGCTGGCAGTGCAGCATAGGATGATGAATGTTTATTAAACTAATCTCCAAACAGTTCTACAACACCCGGTAATACCGAGGTGAGAAAAAATTCTTTCGCTCAACAATTATTTCCCTCGCGGTACTTTTATGTTAATACCGTTAAAAAAACGCCGCTTTAAAGCCACATGCATACACATATATAAATAAATATATTGTTAATTTATGCAAATCAATTTGAATATTTTAAACCTGATCTTCTGTTAGGCAGCTACAGAATGTACGGGTTATGGTTCAAATATGAATATGTTGTAACAACAAAAATTCTGGACTAGATTTAAAGCAAAGAAAATATTGAATCTATTTAAAATAAGATTGGTATCGGCATTTGTCTACCTATGTAGAAGACCAAAGCAATCTGCAGTGCATTACGCCAACACGTCTACCTACAGGTATATTTTTTTGTATGTTTAGTGCATGCATCGACACGTTCATACACGCATGCACAGCTGCCTACAAATGACGGTACCTTTTAGACCGCCATAAACGTACCATCTGGAAAATTAGCTTGAAAATCACGTTAGGTTATTATTACCCATGTCATAATTAGATCTAAGCAAAAAACTACTCACCTACGAAAATTGATTATCAACTAAGTCTTTAAATTCAGTAAAGAAAGCTCAATCGCAGCTGAATTAGTTTATGCTCGGATTCTTGCGACTTTGTGCCACTGGTCTTTGTAAATTAAGAAAATTCAACATTTTTCTTTGCTTACTTGGAATTTTTAAATATTTATGATAAGTATTGCAATTAAATAATGAAATAAATTATGCGTTTTGTATAATTTTTTACGCAGGTTCCATATCGTTACTTTTAGAACGAATCGAATACTCAAATGACTCCAACTGTGTAAAACAACTCACACTTAATTAGTGTGTTTGCATTTTTTGTATTGAATTTGCTATAATTATTGCAAATTTTGATTTATAACTCAAATAGCATGTACATACTTGTGGGTCTGACTATAATTAAAATTAATATGTCTCTGCTGAAAGCGGAGTGTGAGATACCAGCAACAATAATCTGTGCAGAAAATATTCAGGAAGCATTTTGCAGGCGAAGCACCAAGCATTCTCATAAAATACCACAACACCACCGACTGCGGGATGATGTCTAAGTGCCCAGATACTTGCTCACTCTGTACTCCAGTTCCAACAGACCGCCCTGTGGTGGCAAATATAGCAACAATTACTCTCTGCATGCGCCGAGAAGGGCCCAGAATTGTGAGAAATTCAAATTTATGCAATGTACTCGTATGTACTCAGTACATGTGCATGTGCATGTTGGCCAGTTGTTTGTTTGTTGTTGCATGCCGGCTGCTTGGCCTCGCATCCGTATCTGCTCTCCAGATTACCCACATAGCCAATTACATATGTGACTTTGTTGCCAGACAGTCTGCGATTCCACAAGCAGAAAACACGCTACAAACCAAACGAAAACCTCTCGCCAACGTTTTCCTTCATTGTTGTTGTTGAAAACAGCAAGTCCGTTGTTGCTGTTGTAATTGTTGCATGAAGCTTTGGCCACAGCTTTGCCTTTGAGTTAATGCGAAGCGACAGCAGCAGGAGGAGTCAGCCATATAGTACACATACATACATACATCTGTAGATACTTTTTGTCCACAAAACTTCGTGTGACAATTGTAGTACAACAACATCGTCAGAGCTCAGGCTAATGCCTTTTATCGCTGAGCAGTTTTTACTTGAATATACATATACTATACTCGTGTGTATGTACATACTACTACTTGTATTTCAAATAGCCAGTCTAGATGACCAGCTGTGGGCTTAGCTCTGTGACGAGGAACTACGTGTTGTAATAGGAGAACAAAATTACAAGTAAACCAAACATTTTGTTGTGCTTCCTTTGTATTAAAGATTTCACAATTTGGCCAAACTTCTTAACATAAAACAAAGCTAACGGATTTTAGGGAGTTTTCCTTCGTGTTGTCGTAGCTTCAGGTTGTTTTGACTAAGTCCCCAGATTCAAAACGTGCCTTTTTCGACATCAAACAAATATTGTCACCTGATAGTTGAATAATATTTGATAATAATTTGAATATAAACAAACAAAACATAATATGTTGCACAAATGCAAACAAAGGATATTTTTAAATAAATGTATTATACTTATACAAGTACATTTGTGGTCCCATTTCAAACCGAATATTTGGTATTCCCACTTTTTTTATTTTACTATATTTTTAACCTGTTAGGTCTATAATGTCTCTGACCACATATGGATTCGGGGCATAGCTGACCAAATGGCAAATAAAATTCCCCCAACGGGTCGGAGGCATTATTACATTATTGTATAGTTTTTTGTAGGCTGTCTTATCTTTTAAGCTAAAACTATAACGTTGTGCGTTTTATGATAATATAAATCATATTTTTCGTATATGTATCGACAGCACTATTTGTTGTTTTTCAAAATAAATTTATAAATAAATAAATATCCGCAAAAAACAACTATGGTCAATAATGTGGAACCATCCAAAGGTTTTCATTCTGAAACCTATATTGTTACATCCTTTGATGTATTACGAAAATTTTTATTTGCTCATAAGCATGGTATGTTTTGATAAATGCTGCAATGAAATGCAATTTATGGGAAAGAGTTTAAGGATATTTTTGTATGAATTTCGATAACTACATAAGTAATTATCGTTAACTAAAAGTGTGGCTATTGAATGTTCGATGTAGTCAAGCTCAATCTATTTAGAAAGCCTAGGCTGCAATGACGATATCTATAGCACAGTAACGTAGGGATTGGCCATATAGATCTGACATGCCGATCATTTTTTTAATTTATACCTAAAGGTTAACATGAATGAATATATAGAATATTTGGGAATTCATCAAGAATTTCTGGAGTTATGAAAAATCACTAATTGGAGAGAGGGGGGTTGATGCATCAGACAAAATTAACAAACTTTATCTGTATAGGGTTTAGCAGAATCTGGATACCAAGTTTCGCAATTCTATCTCTTGTACCTTTTCGTTCATACATACGTACAGACAGACGGACATGGCTATATTGACTCGTCTTGTCATACTGATCAATAATATATATACTTTGTGGTATACTCTTACACGCTTTGGGTACAGGGTATAAAAAGCATTCCGTATGCATATTAATAAATACTCTCCCCCGCTGTTTATTGTTCCTAGTTTTTGTTAAGTTAAGAATACATTTGATAAGTTTTTATCTTAATAGGGCAAGTGCATTGTACATACAATGTGTGTTTTAAAGCCGCAAATACAATCTCTGACCATGTTCTGTGCTTTTCCATATAACAGATACCAGAGAACTGCACGTGTACGCATGTTTGTGGCTCTAAGTAGTATACTTGCTTAAACATTTGTTGTGGTGTGTTCGCTACCGCATATTACTTTGTCTGTTAAGTTACTGATGTAAAAAGACTTTGGATAAAGGGTATAAAACGGCCATGAGTATAATCAACACCGCATTTTTTTTCCAGTGTTTTCTAAATCGGTTGTGAAAAATACCAAGCACGTACATATGCGTTGCACTTATTGTTGCGGTGCACCGCTGCAGGTCTCTGATAGATACAAAGAACATGTACATATGTATGTATTTAAAAGTGATTACAAAGTGAAGTGTGAAAATCGAGGAAGTAGGCACAAAATACAATTTTCGTATTCGAACTAAATTATCGTTAGAATAAAAAAGTGCTGCTCTATTTCCCAATAGTGCATTATAGCTTTTGAGATTGACGAACACTGCAATCATTCAGCTGTTCGTGTGAATACACATCGCTATCAGTGTTCAAACAAACTGTTGGATGTGCTAGCTATAACAAAAGTTTAAGCTGAGAAGACGAGCGAAGTGCAGTTACATAAAAGATGGCATTAGAAGCTGATTTTGATCTCAAAAATGGAATAATAGATAGTGAGACGCCTGTGAACTCTGATCTGGCAGCCCTATATAAGCAGTGAGTGCTAAAGTGCAGTAAATACTATATTGTATATACATATATATAGTATATACTTGCACAGTTGACATTAATTATAAGTATATGAAGGCGTGATACGATTACGATTTGTTGTTGTTGTAGGAGCTTCGCGTATCATACATTTCGCGTACGTTCACCAGAAATATTGGCTTCAATTGTTACTTCCTTAGCCGAGGACAAGGACGACTTAATAGCCACATATGGATCGGTGGGTAGTGTCTGGTTGTAAGCCATTATTGCATTAATTATACATTAATTTTCCCACCATCTACAGGCCACATGTGCGGACATTGAGAAAATTTCAGCTGACATTACAAAATTGCGCTCAGATATACTTGCAAATGCCACTATGTTACTCTTTAAGGACAATGGTGAGTGTTCTTAATACATCTTTAAGACATTCTTATACTCTCTACCCACAAGCTAAAAGGTTATAGCAGTACTTGTTTAGTGCGAATGTATGTCCTCATGTGTTAAGTTTTGTCCAGATAGTTAAATTATAAATGAAGTAATAGTCAGAAATGCAAAATTAACAAGTGCTTATAGTATATGTGGCTTGTCAGTTTTCATTATGATAGGTTAGTTGTAAAGGTCATGTTCTGGCAGATAATCCGAAAGTAAATATTTTCTACTTAAATTTTCAAACATATGACTCATTTAAATAGTTTTTATAGCCTGTACCCAAAGGGTGAAAGGCTATACTAGATTTGTGCGCATGTATGTAACACACAGAAGGAGGCGTGGCATATATATATTCTTGATCAGGATGAGAAGACGAGTCGATATAGCCATGTCCGTCTGTCCGTCCGTCTGTATGAACGCAAGGATCTCAGAAAGTATAAGAGCGAGTATAACCAAACTTGGTTTCCATATTCTCCTAAGACCGAGAAAGTACGAGTCTGAGTTTTTTTTCGATTCTAATTTAATTTAATTAATTAATTAATTCATTCATTTTTTATAGCCTGTACCCAAAGGGTGAAAGGCTATACTAGATTTGTGCGCATGTATGTAACACACAGAAGGAGGCGTGGCAGACCCCACAAAGTATATATATTCTTGATCAGGATGAGAAGACGAGTCGATATAGACATGTCCGTCTGTCCGTCCGTCTGTATGAACGCAAGGATCTCAGAAAGTATAAGAGCTAGAATAACCAAACTTGGTTTCCATATTATCCTAAGACCGAGAAAGTACGAGTCTGAGTTTTTTTTCGATTCTAATTTAATTTAGTTAATTAATTAATTCATTCATTTTTTTTAATAATTAAATTTCTTTTTAAATTATTATTTTTTTTTTTAATTTTCCTTTTTTGTGGAGAGTACAGGCTATTTTATTGTCGGGCTTGCTCGACTGTAGCGTTCTATCTTGTTTAAAATTTAATTTTCATTTTATTTTTTGGGTACCGGGTATTTAAGAGTTGGGCCCGCTAGACTCTAACATTCCTTTCTTGTAAATACTGCTTTTGCAGAGCCCGACACTGCCCAATGGAATGCATTTCTGAAACAACTGCCGGCAGAGAAGCGCAGCTACTATACTGCTTGTTGGCTATATGCTGAGTGCTATATGTATCGGAAAATCTATTCCATATTTAGGGGATCAGCCACGCTGGGCAGCTTTGACTACTTCAGGAAGCAAAAGCATAAGTCTGCCGAGATGAGCATTGACGTTATGGTGGCGGTCACTCGAGCCACTCGAGAATCTGTTCGAAACGAGCGGACCTTCCAGAAGCTGCTGAAACTCAATCTTTGGGGCAATCGCTGCGATTTGTCCATAACATCCGGCAAGCAGGTAACACCAAAAGATGATGCTTTCGAAATCGTGGCAGAACTCGATGCGAATTTATTGGTGGACCGATCTGACTCTACATGGAAGTCCCTCGAAAGCGCCTGCTCCGTCGACTCCATTGTGGAGATTATTTTAGACAATTCGGGCTATGAGCTATTTACCGATTTGATTCTTGCCGAGTATATAATCGATAAAGGACTTGCCTGCAAGGTACGCTTTAATGTTAAGGCCATACCTTGGTTTATATCAGATGTTATGGTCCATGATTACCACTGGAAACTAGATTTCTTGGCTAAACATGAAAACGAGTTGCTCAGGGAGCTGGGAAAGAAGCTGCAACTATTTACAGCCCAGGGAAAATTTGAGGTAGCGCCAATGGATTATTACTGGACCTCTCCATATGAGTTCTTTCGCATGCAGCAGATGCAGCCGGCGCTCTACGAGCGTTTGGCGAAAGCTAAGCTACTAATAATCAAGGGCGATCTTAATTATCGGAAATTGATTGGCGATTACAACTGGAATCACACCGAAGCATTCGAGACATGTCTGCGAGGTGAGATAAAAAAGCGAATGATATGTACAAATTGAACATTTTTAAATCCTATGTGCTTTTAGGATTTCGGCCAACCAACCTGTGCACATTGCGGACCATAAAAGCGCACTTGATATGCGGCCTGCCGCCAGGAAAATCCGAGGAATTGTTTGCCAAGAACAAGGAATGGATGCTAACTGGCGAATATGGCGTCATACAGTTTGCCAGCAACTGAGAGGGATAATTTGTGCCTAATTCGTAGTTAACAATTATTAATTATTTCAAGGGAACTGTAAAATTATATATTGCTATATACATAGTGGACTTATCCGAACACTTACTTATTTGAGTTGTCGGGATCTATGTGTTTTGTAAAACCATGAAGGAACTGATATGAACTCCGTCTGATGAACCGCTAGTTTCTGCTCTTATAGTATGTTTTTCACATTTTCACAGAAAACAATGTTTTTATACACTACGTCCAAAAGGTTTAAGGTTAAACTAGTATGTAGTTTAGTGCAAATGTAAGTAACGCACAGAAAGAGAGGTGACAGACCCCACAAGGTATACATATAAGTATATTCTTGATGGAATAACCATGTTCGACTATTTGTTTAAAGGAGGTAGCCACATAGTAGTCTGACAAAGGCAAGTTTGTGTGTTCCTTCAAAATCTGTTGAAATTTCATTTCAACATAAGGCAAAAATGCTTCTAATAAATTAGAAATTCGATTTCTCTCAAAGACGAATTAGTCGATAAAACACATGAATACGAGTATATAAAAGTGTTATTATCACATATGTTGTCTAATTTGTAGTTGCAATTGAAAAATACTGCAATAACATTGTTATTTAAACTCCGTTAAAATTGTTCATATCAGCAACATGGCAACTCAAATTTTTAAAGGCTCCTGTTGTGGCATGGAGCAACCTATAAGCCCCAATTCATTTCTGTCTCACCCTATATGTAGAGCCATGCGACGCTTTAATCCACTCGCGCGCGCGCTCACACACACACACACACATACATATATACATATTCATATGTGTATGAACGGAAATTTCAGCACACAGTATGGAAGTATGCAAAATAATAGTCCCTTTCATGCATGGTGGCATGCCACTCTCTCCCCCGATCTCTTGCACCTCCTGCTCCATCGCCTGCAGCCAGTCAAGCAACCAGGCAAAAACGCTTTGATGAATGTATTCATAAAAATCCAATCATTGCAATTGCAGCAGTGCCACAACAAACACACACAATAAACACAAAAATAACAACAAATGGAGAGAGGAAAAAAGGAATTCAAGTGAAATACCCGAAAAATAATGGCAAAACACAACAGAGACAGCTGGGCGGGCGTACAGGCGATTTAGCAAAGCAGGAATAACAGCAACAGCAACAGCAGCAACAGCAACAACAACAACAACAATCAAATTGCAGTCATATTTTTTGCGAAACAAAACAATTGTGCATAGAATGGAAAATAAAGAAAGCGCTTACACCACCACCTCCATCAGCACTGCCTAAAAAACAACAACAATCATGAGAGAAACAAACAACAAAACAAAAATGCGATTAAAATGACAAGTGAAAGCAATTTTCGTGCAGCTGCTGTAAGTTGTTGGTCCGATGAGGGGGTCAGAGGGTTAGTATGAAGTTGCCTCATTGGACGAAAGCCTCACCGACTGACTGACTGGCTGACTGACTGACTGACTGACTGAATGACTTGTCGGCATGAATGGCAGCTGGCAATATGTCGCATTTCTGGTTGTAACATAAATATATATGACTTGGCTTTATGTTCATTTTGAAAGAATTGAGAATTGAGGAATGCCAGCATATATTGTTACCAGCTCCACCTTCCCCATCCCATCCCACCCTCAGTCAATAAAAGATGGGGTACTTACATTCTTGCTGCATTCACATTTCAGTATCCATTCGACGGCAATGAATTTATTTTCAATTTGTATTTGATGTGATTGCAGAAATTCCTGATTGATGGGCTCGAGTGCCACACTGTCCCATAATTGTGGTGCCCATTGCCCAACTCTTCCTACCCCTTGCTGCACCTCATCCATTTCCTCCGGCTCCTTCACCTCCAAACCATCATCAACGTCATCATCCTCGTCCTCGCCTTCCTCCCTTGCTCCTGCTTGTTGCTGTTTGTGCACTTGCTGTTGTACGTAGTTAATTGGATCAACGGCATTTAAAGGACACAACATCTCGACCTGAAAAAGGATAGGAAAAGAAAAAAGGAACACGAAGGTAAAAATCTAAAAACGCCATGAAACATTGCCGACTGGCTCTCGGACAATAGTTGAAAAATCAGTAAAATCTCCACCCAGCACATTGAAGCTAAAACGGATAGTTTTTGAAACCAATAGGAATTGCTTTTCTAAGCACTAAACATTCGGCCTGGACACCAACGCACTATAGTTCGTTTATAAAGAAATTCTTTGTAGATGATTAATATTATTTTTTCCCTACATTTAAATGTAGCGTACCGCTTGAGTTTATAAGCCTTTGTGCCATCGAGGAATTATTTAAAAAGCATTGGTGTATAAGAGCTTATCTTAATAATAAAAGTTACTATTTTTCCATATTACGGCCCAAACAAATTATTTCAAAACAAATCAAAATGTATGGTTATTTAGAAGTGAAACTTGGGAACTTTGTTATTTATCCTCTGTTTTTGAATTTTTATAAAAGAAGCAATCCCCAATTTGTAGTACGCCTAAAACAGAAAATGGACTAACATACCCTGAACACAGATTGTTTATTGTTCGGATAGAAAAGAGTAAAAAAATTTGCAATTTGAATAAAATGTAAGGGTTTTTTCATGCGCTCGAACAGGCTTCTTTCATTAGCAAGAAATTAAGGAAATACAAAACATTCATTAGTTTCCATTTTTTTGCCGGGTGGTTGGCTTTTGCCGGCTTTATAAATTGGAAATTGTAGCAGGTCGGTTGGGCACAGGCGCTAAAATTGGTTTTGACAGGTGCCAGCAACATGGGTCTTTTAATTTTGCTAGCGTTTTCCAATTGGCACAATCACAAGTTGACGTTTAAATGCAGTTTGCTTTTTAATTAAAAGAATATGGTGGAGGGACCAATAAATAGGAAATACAAGAAGCAAAAGGAAGCGCATTTTAATTACCATTGATGCGTTTGCATTGAAATGAATGCTAATTGAATGAAAGCAGGCACAGAGGAACAAAAAGCAACAGCACCATAAGTAAGTAGAATGAGAAAAATGGCAAAGTACATGCAAATAGCAAATAAGATTTTTATAAAATGTAAATGCTCCATTTCGCTTGCATTTGCGAAGCAAATGATTCTGCTCTACATCGACGCGACTTAACCCACATTGCCGACTAATCACATGAAAGCAACTCCACCACATCACGCACCTGTATTGTTGTGGACACCGCAGGCACACAGCACTTGATGCTCCGATGACAGCGTCCACAGAGCTTGGGCCGGTATAGTTTCCGGGAGACGCACTCTCCGAGTCGAACGCGTGCCGGTCCCAGACGCTGAATGCTGCGACATTCGTGGCCCTTCTGCAACGATTTAAGAAAATTTGAAGAGCTTATAATATTGAAAAAAATGAAGACATAATTGAAGTGCCGGTAATCAATATCTACTAGAAAATGTGATATTGGTATAAAACCTTACCCATTTTAATGCTTTATAAATGAGTCTGAAGGGAGTTGAATATTAATGCTAACATCACTAAATGGATCATTTAATTAAATGTGTTAGTGCATAGACATGCCGGTTGGAAAACTATTCAAATTTAATTGTTAAGAAATCTTTTGCGTTGGAATATTCGAAATGAAACTGTCTTTAACGCGACCACTATAATTATGAAAGATAAATTATCACTTTATTGAACAGGAAGGTCACCAACGAAATCATGTAATTTGAAACCAACCTGACTGTGAAGAAAACATTTATGCGAATATTGAATGCGATAAATGGCGATTCAATCGAAGAAAGCTTTAAAATGAGTAGGATTTCCATTAATAATTGGGGGACCGGAGTTTTTGAATTAAATCTGATTTTTTTATTGTGAAGTTTGGTCATTAATTAGAACGTGCTGTCATACGAGCGCTCGCTACTTTCTTTTGAAAAGCTTAATATATCGGAATGCAAATGGAATTGAACAATAAAATTTTTCTTTATTCTTTTTGACGTTATTTATGTCAACAAGATAATAATAATTTCACTTCTGGCAATAGAGTCCCACAGCATTCGCCTTATGCCGATTCTCGCGAACCTTGTCTAAGCAAATGTTTATACAAATGAAGATAATGCGCTCTCACCATGTGATGTCCTATAAGATTTAAGCATCCTTGAGCATTAGTTTCTGCATAATTAATAAAAAAAGCGTTTGCGTAGGACACCAAATAATTTAAAAATCGGTTTAAAAGAAAGCCAAAAAATGCATGACAAAATACTGCTATGGGCGTTTATCCTATCCTTTATTCAGAAGGCCATTTGTTGGCTGGAGTTTTTCGGAGTATTGAGAAAATGAAACCAAAACTGGCGGATCGCCCTTATACATCAGCTCCAACTTTTTACCTTACAGTTTTGCCTATATACTATACAATTTCATTTATCGACGCCTGAAGATGTGATAAAAAAGTCTTTTCTACATATGTATGGGCACTTTTTACTTATACTTATGCTTATACTTTGGTCGCCTCAAAATTAAGAGGGCAACATTTGAAAATAACTTCTAAAAATATACTATACTATATAGTATACAAGGGCGTAGGCAGAGTATGCCTTAAAATGGAACTGAGTTGGATTTGTTGAAGTTTGTTCATTGATCATATGCATAAGTTATTTTTTATATGCATCGTGCATTATTTAATCAAAATGTTAATTTTTTGGCTCCCCCCTTTAGTAAAAGCTGCGGACGCCCTTGATAGTATACAATGTATATGTATACAGGGTGCGCCATCTTTTATGTCGGTATGTAAACATTGAATATCTTTGAAAATAAACAACCGATTTTCAAGTATGAGATATTTTTATTTAATTTTTTTGGTCTACTCAAGTCAATCGATTCACTAATGACAAAGTTATTCAATATTTACATACCGACATAAAAGATGGCGCACCCTGTATGTACGTATGTATATTGCATATTTTGTTCGTAAATTATTTATCATTTGATCTTCATTTATTTACCTTTCTATTTTCTGCTACTTACACTTTAGAAAAATAAAACAATTGCAATAATAACAACAACTTACTCTTATTCTATGCTGGGGCCCCTGTTGAATTGGTAGATGCTTGTGATGTTGCTGTTGACTTGCAACTAAGTTGGCGGCGGCAGGATGCTGGTGTTTTCCTTTTTGTTTTAGCCTCCGCCATTGTCCAGTGTGTGCCATCAAATGCGACGTGCTGTCCAGCGGCTGTTCATAATTGTTATTGTCGACCTCGCACTTGCGATTCTCGCACAAACGCAAATTGCTCAATTGCTGGCATCCTGCGTGGGCGTTGATGTGACGCGTGGCAATGCCGAGGCCACAGGAACGACTGCAGGCGGTCCAATTGCTGGCCGTGCTATTGTGGCAGGTGGCATAGACTGCAGGAGACAAAAGCAGGGTGCGAGAGGGCGTGTGGGGAAGAGAGGAGAAAGAGTAAGATGAAGTACATGATGATGATCGAGTGGGGCAACCGCGCGCATTAATCATGGAAAAAACGCTGAAGCATAAAAGAGTTGGCGCTTAATAAGCTTGTTTATTTATTGCATTTTGCGCATTTAATTAACACTTAATGCCTGTGTAAGTAATTATGCCCAACTGTTAGACTGGCTGACTGCTGGTGGCCAGAAGTTCCTTGGAATGGCTCGCTGGCTGGCCAGCTGACTGGCTGGCAGCCCTGTCATGAAATAATTCATCTTCATAAATATGCGTTGCGCTTTTCGCTGGCATTCTTGGCGCTTAAGAAGCATTAAGTTGCGTCCAGAACGGGCCAGCCAGTCAACCAATGGCTCTGAGACGCAGTACCGTCATCCGGCTAGCCCCCAGAGCACCATTAGCTTCCTCACAAACAGACAGACAGACGGACAGAGACAAAACCGGGTAGACTGTGGCCAATAGCGCACAGTGTGAACATTTTTCAATTTAAGTGGACGTTCTTCAGAAAAACGATTCAAATGCAATATAAATAGTTACAGTCTGACTATTTACACTATAATTTTTTTATATCGTCTTTTATAATTATGGCTGATCTACAAATTCTATATATTAGTCAATTTATATACAATTGTAATGTACTAAACGTAAGAATTGAGTAGCCGGATTAGAATTTATTTACATCTTACTGCAACGACAGAAAAACCGACTGATTGTTTTTCTATTTTAGATGGAACCATGGATTTGGATAAACCTATATGTATGTGTGCCCCCCACAGTCTACCCGGTTTATGAACACAAATATTTCAAACGCCGACCTATCAATCTAACGTATGTATTTAAATATATTATAAGTGTGTGATTCTTGTGTTGAATTTTTGTTCCTGCCATTCCCTTAAAGTACGTCTTCAGATTTATTTGTGTGAATAGAAAAAGGATTCATACACATGCGCGCATTATAGCTTATTTCTGGCGAGACGGGGAGACCTCACAAAGTATATATACAAGTATATGTTCTTGATCAGTACGATGAGGTGTCTATCTACCCGCCTGCCCTTCTGGGTCTCAGGATGTATATGAGCTAGAATAAACAAATTTACTGTGTAGATTCCTTAAAGTCCGTATGTCTGTATGTGTTTTTTTCGATTAACCAACCACACTTCTACTACTCCAGTTATTCTTGGAATTGTTTACCCAAATTTGACATTTACATTCGGGGTGAGGGTGTGAGAGTGTTTTTTGGTTTTGTTTTCTTCCTAATAATACGGGGGGTCTACTATATTTATTATATGGGTATACAAATAGATATTCTGTTGTCTGCAGCAGCACGTCCCATTATAATTAATGACGCTTTTTGCTGTTTCGAAATATGAATAAAATATTTTGTTATTCAGAGATTACACAGAGATTATGAGATTATGTCTTAACAACTTCTCATATGCAAATGACTAAAAATTTCTTTAAAAAAATGGTTGGTACCTTTAGATTCCATTTCTTTGCACAGCACGTCCCATTATAATTAATGACGCTTTTTGCTGTTTCGAAATATGAATAACATATTTTGTTATCCATTTAAGAAGCAGAGATTATGAGATTATGTCTTAACAACTTCTCATATGCAGATGACTAAAAATTTCTTTTTAAAAAAAATGGTTGGTACCCTTAGATTCCATTTCTTTGCACAGTTTAAGCATTCAATTCATATTCAATAAAATGCCCAAACTTTGTTCACACTGTGCAACGGTTATATTTGAGTGGCCAAAGCACATAAATACCCTTATAAAAGTAGGGAGGCAATGGGCCACAACTTACCATCAGCTGTTGGATTCTCACACAGCCACATTTTGCAACAGTGGCCGGGCACCTCAACAAGACGGGGCGATCTGCACGAAATCGTATCCTCCGGCGCCGGAAGCTGTTCGTTCGGACATAGTGTGGAGCAGGCATGTCGTCCATTCTGTCGAAATTTGTGAGAACAAAGAGTGCATATAAAATTATATTAAGTGTATGCTTGTTGTACTAGTTGGACATACACATTCATACTATATGTACACAAGTACATATTTTTTAGCCAGCCAGATATGAGCTCATAATGTAAACAAGATATGGCCAACTGGCTGCCTAATTTGAAAAGAGGAGCTGTTTTGTCGTTTTTATTATGCGTTAAGGAAGTGTGGCAAGCTAATAAGTTCGAATTGCGTTACGAAAGTTCCAAAGGCTCGGTTGAAGTGGTTTTATAAGAAAATGGAGATGCAGGGAATATGTTGAACTTGCTCAAAACTAGCCTATTCAAAATATACCATTGCATTACGAAATGCTGTCAATAAATTCTAGAGCACTGATTGAAATAAATAGATACCAACACAAAGGAAAAAAGTTGCGACTAAAGTTTTTAGGTTTCAACAGGTTATACATAAAGGCTCAGTAACTGCAGATGTTTAACGATCGGTGCTGACCGCTTACAATATACAAGTCCACCAATATAAGTATATTCGCAAAAATCATTAGTTCATTTGGCGAATTGAAATCATTTTTTTTTTTCGTCATTTGACAACATTGCTTACAGTTTAGATTGGAAATGTCGATAATGAAGTCGTTTTGGCTTAGAAAACTGAAGTACTACAGATTTATTGAATGAAGTCTATTCAAAATCCAAGCCTATATTATTCAGTAATATAGTAAGTAGACTGCACAACTCTATCTCTATAAATCACACACATAAACTGTTTTATTTATACACTTTTATATATGCACTCGTACTTTGCTAGGGAATAAAAATTACGTTGCATAAATTGCGGCGCCTTTGCCTTTTGTGGGTGCTGCTGTGGCTATGATCTGTTGGCTAGTTGCGCTTTTTATCCCATGATATACTACCGTTGTTTCCAAGGTAAATAGTGGCTCCCACTCACACACACACACAAACACATAGACGGATGAACACCCAGCCATAAAGAATGGCCAGGGATTTTTTTTTTTGTATATATATATATTTTTTGGCAATTTCTGCTGAGCTAGCCTTTGATTCAAATAATTGCACGTAAATCTTGCTCATTTTTTTTGTTTTTGGGATTCACTCTTCTTTGCGTAGACTTGGGAACATTTAAAATGCATACTGAGGATAAGGTCGCATGGCCATGGCTCTTACTTAGCCAAAAATGCGAATGTTGCAAAATGCGTTGTAATTACTCAAAGCTCACTGCTAACCACTTGGCATTGCTCAGTTATATAAATTATAGATAAAGGTATATATGTAAATGAGAGATGAGGGCGCTTTAGTAAAACAACAATTAATACAGTTACAACGTTTTCAATAATAAATAAAACTGGGCTGCGACAAAGTCAAGTCGTAAGCAGACTTTTAAATATTATCTTGTCAAAGAAATAGTGTGTTAATTAAGCCTAATTACAAATAGAGCACAAATTGATGTCAACACTGCATAACACGGAATATAAATGCTTTTCATATAGAATCGATTGCTGTAATCAATAAAAATGCTTCTTAATACTTTAACTTCTTTCTATATAGGCATCTCTTGAATTTCAATTAATTGAATTGAGCTCATACTGATACACTCTACAATGTCTACAAAGAAACCTATGCTGTATAAACATTGGAATTTTCATATAAGCTAATCACGGCAATGAAAATATAAAGTCGCCTGGCAAAAGTCCAATTGAGTTTGATTGCCGGTCCTGAGTGTCATGAATGTCCTGATTGAGTGTGGTTTTGGATTGCATCTAAACGTTGCACTCTTCAGCACTCACCTCACAAACGCACTGCGTTTTACAATCCAATTTAAATGTGGCTCCATGTGCGAACGTTGTATTGCCGACACTGCAATTGGCTGCAAGTTGGGGCGTTTTGGGCCAGGAGCACAAAATAGAAGTGCAGGCGGTACACAAAGCAGTTGACAGACGATTCCATTCCATGTATCGTTGGCAGGCGTAGTCATAGTTACATTTTTGGTAGTCCAGCATCGCAAAAAAAAGAACGAGCCAGAGACAAAAAGAGAAATTGAGAAATAAAGCTAAAAGTCAAATGAACATAAAAAGGACATTCAGGCACATCTGTGTCCAATTGCATGTACATTGCATGCAATAAAATTTCCAGAGTGAATACTCTCGTTTATACATATAAGAAATCGAATTGTATGCATTGCTCTGTCTACAATTTTATTATTGGGTGTTTTCTTTAAAGCCACAGAAAAAAATTGTTGTACATCATCACACAGGGCGTATACGGAATGTTAGGCTTAAACTAATGCCATTTCATCAATATAAACAATAGACTTTGTGTGTTTTATCGAAATTAATTTTGACAAATGTTGTGTTTTATGGCATGCCATTAAGGCTCCTTCGAAAAAGCAAAGTTTTGGCTTTTGCGTGCAGCCACGAATTGTGTGTGTACATACGAGTATACATAAATATCTTTTGTTTGTCTGCTGCCAATCACAATTATACCGAGCTGTTGTTGTCAATGCTGCCGAGGGTAATAAGTGATAGCCCCCCACTACCCCCAGCGTAACTGCAAACTGTCGTTAACTGCTGTATCTATTGAGTTTTCCCTTCAGTGGCCTACGTGTTGATATGTGTCTGAGTTGGTATATACTTACTTATGTACATATATGTGTGTGCGTGTGTTTGTTTGAGTGACTATGTAATGTCGTTGTGTGTTTGCTTTTACGCATTACTTGAATTGATTTTGCGTGACGTGACTTGTAAGAAGTGACGATCAAAAAAGAAAGACAGTACTTGAAAATCATTACGTACATATACCTATACATATATGTTTTAGAGATGTGTGAGTGTTAATACTAGAGGTCGGCGGCATGATTATGAGAACCTTTTCCGAAACAGGCTTCGTTTTTAACATTATAAGCTAATAAATATTGTTGCTATATATCTGGCCCATTATTTCTTTACTTGCCCAATCCTCATACATATGTGTTGCTACTTTTTTCTTTAATTTTGTAAAATGTACATACAAAGTTAGGTGAAGGCCCTAGAAGCCATTGCTAGCATAATCTCTCCTGGTAGTTTTAATATTTTATATAAATAAATGAAATAAAACATTTTTACTTTACCTTAAAATGAAATAGTTGGTAAATAAGCTACAACTATGCTACATAATAAGCCGGATTTAATTTTTATTAAAATATGGGTTTATGGGTTAGTTTCGTTCCACATTTGTGTTCAAAGTTTTTTCAATGTTAAGCGTTTGCCTTCATTTGCTGCTTTCTTAGACTTTTTTGTTTTGATTTTGTGGCCAAATCATGAAAATATTTGATGTTTCCATGACAATTTCTTATGGGGCAAGCCTATTTATTTATTCCAAAAATAATCATTATGCTGCTATAAACACAATTGCCGATTATTCAAGTTAAAAGTGAATAAAATATTCTTGCTCAACATTATATACAACTTATTATACTCTGTACATGAAATGTACAAGAGTATATTAGGTTTGCGGGAGCTGAAAAATGTAACAGGCAGAAGGAGGCGTGGCAGACCCCACAAAGTATATATATTCTTGATCAGCATGACGAGACGAGTCGATCTAGCCCTGTCTGTCTGTCTGTCCGTCTGTCCGTCCGTATGAACACCTGGATCTCAGAGACTATAAGAGATAGAGACACCAAATTTTGCACAAAGATGCGTTATGTGTGTATTCTATACGAGTTTGTTTTATTTTTTTGATTTTCCCCCCCACTTCCCCCCTATGGGGGTTTTCCCGATTTTCCATTCGTATAATCGCCTATATCTCGGAGACTATAAGACCTAGGAACACCAAATTTTAGTCCCAGATGCCTTATGTGAATACGCAGAAAATGTATATTTTGGAATTCCCCTCCCTCCCCCCTCTACCCCGCAAATCGTAACTCCCGTAATTCTTGGAATTTCGAACTAAAATTTTGGAAATACCCCCAGTTGGTTATTATGTGTCCGTATGCCAAATTTCATTATGATAGACCGATTTAACAAGAAGTTATAGCCATAAATATATTTGCTGATGCAGCGCTGCCCGCGGCTGTTGTTGATGTTGCTGTTTGGTTGACTGCGAAAATGCTTACACAGACACGAATTGATGCGCATAGGCATACATACACTCACACAGACGCAATTGCTATGTAAATGTGCAATTATACGTGAGTTCGAATACCGAAAGAGGTAAAATCGATCAAATTTTTTTTTTTTATTTTCTTAATTTTTTTATTTTCTATAATTATTGTAAACATATGTACAGAGTATTTCAAAGTCGGGACACCCGACTTTAGCTTTTTTACTTGTTTTTATACTAACTAGATTTTTAAAAATTAATGTAGCTTTTTTATTAGAAATACATCTCAATTCAAAAAACCGGAGAATTAAAATATATCAGAATCAGATAATCAGAATATGGATTTACTTAACGGGCTCAGAAAATTGAATTATTATCCTCACATATACTTTAAGTATACTTGGATGAAATATTTGTTGTCACGCGCCCATTTCCTATACTCTAACACACATGCATGCCACAATTCATTTATCTGGCAACCAACCATGGGTATTGCGCTGTCTGTAATGAATATAGGCACGTGACTCTGTTTTGTTTCCTATCTAGCTGTGAGGCTATTTATGTCATTAACAATTTGCTTTCAGCTTCGGAGCAGATACTTGCAAAGTTTGAACTGCATGCCAAAAGGCGACGAGACCGAAGCCGGAAACTTTTGAGCAGATGCCTTTGGCACTTGTTCAGCCAGCAAGCAGACCCATAGCCGCCCTTTTTACTTTGTGGCGAATTGTGTCATTTTCGAAAGTGCAATCTTCTTAATGTACTTTGGCATACAACAAGAAATAGCTGTCTACATTGAACATACGCGCAAAAAGCTTACCACACACGAATACACACACCTTTATTTTACATACTCGTATGCCATGCGGGTGTGCCTTAATGCCTCTAACGAAGCTGACGATGCGAGGCGAGAAGAAGCGGACGACAAAAAAATGTTACTGTTGCTTCTCTGCTCGTTGCCAAGGCGGAAGTAAACGCAGGAATTGCAATGTGAGCACTTTTATCTGCTTTTGCTGTCAACATTTAAGGCTGTCTTCGCTTTGCTGAAGCGTACTTAAGCAGTTATGTGTCTTTCTCTCTCTTTGTGTGTGTGTGTTTGTGAGAGATTGTGTTTGTGTTGGTTTTGGGTAACGTTGGTGATGTTGTTGTCGTTGTTGCCAACTAACGGCAGCTCACAAACAAAGTGAAATGCCCCACAAGCTTTAACTTTACGTCTTGCATTATACCTTCACTTTGATATGTACTTTATTATACCCTGCAGTCATCAGGTAAGATGATATATGAGGTCGTTCTGTATACAAATGCAACTAATAACAAAATTGACGTGACCGGTATAGCGTTTACAGCTATAGGAAACAGTATGAGGAACTTATGCACTGCTACGTGAAGAATGCTTACGGATATCACACGCATACTTTACTTGAAAATCTGAAAATTTCCTCCATATCTGGGCGTACAGTTTTGTAGATTTCTTACATCGATTTTCCAATTGAAGCGCTACTCTTAATATAAGATTGGATTGTAGATAATACTTTAAATACAATCAATTGTCGGCATGGAGAGAATTGACTATGAAAAGAATTGAACAATTTCAATATATTTCAAGTTTTCTACCAGGATTGTCGGAGTGTTTGTAGTCAAAATTTTCAAAATTTGGACGCAGGACCTTACAAAAAAATAGTATCTGTTTATAATTAATTATTTTAGGTTGAAGTAAGTAAGTAAATAGGTAAAGTATATTCAATAGTATAGTTCTATATTCCACAGTCGATACTAAAATATACTAAAAAAGAGTCTAATTTCTTCGAAATATTGGTGTATTTTTTAAAAAATATTCTATTTTTCTTTTTGCTTTCGTATACTAACATGCATTGCGTTAATCTGGTGCCAAGTAGAAAGCAGAGTGTATCATCGTCCAAGGCTCTCAATTTCAGCATTCTTTTGTGCTGTGAATTGAACAATTTCAATCTATTTCAAGCCGCATTCAGTCAAAGTTTGATACTAGAGTTTTCGGAGTGTCTGTAGTCAAATTTTCAAAATTCGGACCTTCAAAAAGTGTAGTATCTGTTTATAATTAAATATTTTACTTAATCCATATTAAATAGTGTAGTTCTATTTTCTACAGTCGATACTAAAAATGAGTCGAATTTCTCCAAAATATTGGTGTATTTTATAAAAAATATTCCATTTTTCTTTTTGCTTTCGTATACTAACATACATTGCGTTAATCTGGTGCCAAGTAGAAAACAGAGTGTATCATCGTCCAAGGCTCTCAATTTCTGCATTCTTTTGTGCTGCGACATGTAGTTTGTTTTTGTTTTATTTGCTGTTGTTGTGTTTTGTTTCTGTTTTCTTAACCCTTTTTGTGTGTGTGTGGTCGTGTGTGAGGCAGCTGGCTTGTTTTTTGCCCTCGCGTTGAATTTTACAATGTGCCGCATAGCGCTGGAAAAAGTGTAGCATATTTTTGTGCGCAGTGGCCACCATTGTCGCCATCGTCATCAGCATCGTCGTCATCAGCATGGGCAGCCGCCGCTTGCTCGTACTCAAACGGTTAAGGGTCACGTGTGTGCACTTTATTTGTTCGGCATGCGAGTGTGTCTCTGTAGCGTATTTGTGTGAGTGTGTGTGTGCCGTAGTGTTTGTTTTACTTAGAGTTTTAGATTTATTCAAGTCGTTGATGACCATGACCAAATAAAGTTTCATTTTGTGCCAAGATTTACAGCACTTGAGCGTGTGTGACACAAGTTTTGAGTGCTCTTTGTAAGTGTGTGTGTGTGTGTGTGTGTGTAAAGGAGTCAAACAAAGCAAAGCGCAAATCTGCAACTGAATCCTTCTCCACTATTCAATGCTGCGTATGCGCAATTTTGTAGTAAACTATGTACATATCTGTGTGCTAAAGTGTGTTTGCTACTTAAAAGATATGGGGTGAGTGTAGAAAAGGAGAAAAGATTGTACAACAGCAGCAAAATCATGTGTAGGCAATCGAAAAATTGTCAAAAAGTTGTGCACGACGAGGCTGGTCAAGCAGTCAATAGAACAATATCAATACATTTCTCAATTCTGTATATTTAAATTAACTAATGGCAACTCAAACATTCCCATGCTCCAAATACGCACATATGCAAAATTTTAAGAAAAGAAATCAAATCTCAATTGAACTACAAACTTTATTTTCTAATTAAAAAGTTGAAAATGTTTTTGCTTTGGAAAAACTGTATGCCAATGGCATTTGGCACATAAAATAAATTATGTGCACAGCACCAAACATATTATTCATGCTCTATATTGAAAATATTTGTGAATTACTTTTCTATTTTGATAAATTTTAGTATATTTGAAGCCGAAAACATTTTTTTGTTAAAATGAATTGCCACATGATTGTACAAGTAGTATTTTGCTTCATATAGAGTTTTCTTCTTCCACACATTCAATGAGTTTAAAAGCCCCCTTCGGAAACATAAAGCTAAATGTGTGTGTATGTTGGTTTTTTTTTGTTTTTGTCGAATAAAAAATACATGAAAAGCCAATGAATATAATCTAAAATAATTATACACCAAATAATTGAAACATAAATTCCTAAATGCAAAGTACCTTCATCACGTTTCTGTCTTACCATTGAGCATCGTGGATGTTTTGATTCGGATAACTATTTATTATATTATGAACTGGCGATATAAAAAAACCATACAAAAATATCTAATTACAAATCCGTCTCGCCAGTTTTATTTCCCCAACGGTCATTTCACAGCCAGACTAGTCAGAGACCTAACGAAGACTGAATTGTTAGCCAAACTGATTGAAAAATATATAAGAATATGAATAGTGACACAATATTGTAAATAACTATTTAGATCATATGCAAAGCTTTTAGGTTTCGATATAAATGTTATACAATTAGTTCCAAAGGTAGACATTTTTGATCTAAAGTTAGTAAGAGAGGGTCTTGGGAGTTTGTTTTAGTTTGTTTTGCGTAAAATGATGGACTAATGCTAAAATATTTATGCCAATCAATTGCTATAATTCCTGAGTATATTGCAATCACTCTCGCGAATCCCTAGGGTGCTTCCTCCACTGATAACAATTTATTGAAATTGTGCCAAAATTAATATGTTCACATTATGCGCACGTATTTTAAGCTTCGCACACACTTGCGAATGCCAGCCATTTTTCATCCCTACACATATAGATTTTCAATACCATAAACACACATTCAATCGCACGTTTGTGCTTGATCCTTTACATTTTTCGTGATTCTCTAACTTTTGCGAAAGTTACAGCCTTACAGCAACGGCAACCGAATAAGCAACAAAATACAAAAACTCTGAACAAAAATTGCCAGCAAATAAGTTTTACAGTTTAAATATACTTGTGCCGTTTGTGTCTGGACAATGTGCTCTGCAAAACATCCGAACGCTGCTGGAACGTGTGGAGCATTGATATTTGCCCAAAGGCGCCGCATTTGCACGAACATGGCAACCAAACTGCCAATACAAACTCAAACTCTGTTCGCATTTGACTTGAAACTTTTAGCTTGCCTAACTGCCTGCATATATGCACACATATAGATACACATAGACGATTGGATGTATTTTTCTTGTACAACATACAACAAAAACGAATCCAAACACACAACAAATGCTTAACTTTTTGGCACATTTCATGCTGCTGTTTAATTTTGAAAGCTTTGTGGGACAACTTGTAAAAACTCGACGAAAAAAATATTTAAAAAATGAACCCATTTAAATCACTTGGCCTTCCAGTTAGGCATTAGAATATAAGTATGTATGTACACTAGAGGGCACTTGAATAAAAACAGCACCGCTTGAAAATCGCGAAAATCTTTTTAATTCTTTTCTAATTTCTTCAGTACCTTAGCTGAGCTCCAAAGCAGAGAATAACCGAGAAGACATCTATGTGTGAATTTTATAAAAGCCGACCGATTCGTAATAACTTATTGGGGACTTTTAATGTTTCCTTTATTGTACTAAATAAATCTTCCAATATGAAAAAAACAAATATATAGGGCATGTCAAATATATTTCTACTTTATAATATTCTTCTAAATTTATTTCAAATCACAATTTAAAATAAACGAAACTAAACATTTTGTACTCTTTAATACATAAGATTTGATTCAAAATAAATTAATGACAATTTAGCGATAATTGCATTGCAAATAATAATCTATATGATATGATCACAGCTTAATAATATAAAAGCAAAAACCTAATATGGGCTTAGTACTTCGCAGAAATTGAAACAACTAAGATACGACGTTGTACTATTATTTTCATAGTTTATATAATTATATATATATATATATATTACTATATATGTATTATATGTAGATAAACAATGTTGTGTTGATTGTTCTTGTGATTACTTACTATATGTAAGTATATATATATATATATTGAGTAACTTTAACCAAATTAGGTTTGGAAATGAGTTTACTCTTTCAGCATTTTGATCTCTTGGCTGTTATTCGCGTTTCCCGCCTTTCCATTTGCTGTTCTGGAACGTAAGCCTTTTCTACATAAATTTTGCTACATAAGAGAACTGAAGAACTCATACAATGAATGAAATAATATTTAGTTCTTAAAATGTTTAGAGTGAAAAAGAATTTACTAAAAAGAGAAACAAGTTGATACATTTTACCTTTTCAGTTGTATCTGACAATATCACCGAAAAATATCACTATATTTGTATGAAGATAACAGTTTGTCCCTTTTAAATTGGCCACTACTGTATGCAAATATGGATTATCCATTCTACATAGATAAGCCGTGTCTGCTCCTGTGGTCGGCTGTGCGGTTAACGTTCTGACCAATCCCATTGATATTGGTTTGCCTATCTCAGCTCAAAGCTAAGCTGCCGCAAGAAAAAAAAAACAAAATGGGTAGAAACTTTTGGCAAAAAAAAAAAAACGCCATTTACAAGGTACAAGTTTTAATGAAATTTTTCGCACAACACTGTGCAAATTTTTGCCCTACCTTTTCACTTATTGCTTGTTTTTGCTTTTGGCCAAAATCTAGCCATGAATATTTATGCGCTTAACAACACGAGAAATATAATTTAAGTTGATGTACGGAAAATGGAAAATTTCTGTTATTTGTCTTTGCCATGCATTTTCGCAAACACCCAGCAGAACATCCTTATCCGCAAAAGACTTTTCAAGTTATTTAGTATTTGGTTTGTCCGTCATTATGCATAATATTTTTTTTTTCTTTTATCTTTGGCATTGCGTCTTTGATTAATGAAGCGCAAATTTAATGGAATTTTCAAATGCTATAAGTATTTGGAAAATGTATTTAATCGTCCTTTGTAGGCTAAGCATACAATTCAATTTAGTTATACTTTAACGACAAGAGTATAATGGACATAAAAACTGAATGGCTGCCATAACTTACCCGGATTTGAGTGCCTTGGCAACTGCAGCGCATAATTAAGTGTAAAAGTTAACGGAATTCATTAGATTATTTCTTGGGCTTTTTGTATTTATTTCATTTCAGTTCAACTCACTTTGATGGCCTTAAAGCCCAAGCTCAGATTTGCCTCAACGAGTCCAGCAATGAGAACATCTCCAAATATGCTCAGCAATGGCAGCAGCATAAGCATTTTCTGTAAGCAAAAGGTTTTCTTGTTAGATAAAAGCCATCTCTAACACACAACAAAACACGGCAAATGCATAAAATGAAAAATGTCAGAGTCGAAAAGGTCGTTGTGGTCGTTGGCTTCATTGTTGTTGATGTTGTTGTTATTGTTTTGGCTGTAAAAGTTATGACCATAGTCGCACTTACAGACCAGGTCTCAGTCACCTTCACCGCAGTCGGTGCCTACTTTATTAAGGTTAACTCAATGTCTGCCTCGGTTTTTGGTCACGAACCAAGGGTTGTGGCTATTGCCACATTTACCACATTTTTTGGTTCATCCTTTCACGCCACCTTTAAAATTTATTTCTAACCTAGAGGCCTTTAAGGCAAAAAATATTTTAATGAACAAAAAAAATATATATATATATTTGCTTTAGCTTTTACAATTTTTTTTTTTTACAAAAAGTGCAAAAAAAGCGCCGGATTGACGTTCTGTCTTGGCCTTGACTATAGGCAATCATTTGGCATTTGTAACAAAAAGGGGTGCAAAAAAAAGTTGAAATTGTTGAGTTGAGTATGCACCAAAAAACATAAAAGTTCAGGCAAATTATAATTAAATAATTTATGTTTGCATTCTGTTGAATAGAAATGTGAGAGAATTGTAGATATAATTAGTTTTACAAGCCTTGGAAAAAAAAAACGGAGCAAATATTAATTTATTATACCATTTGCCTAATTCTCATTCGTGCCAATTGAAATTTGTAAGTTGTTGCAACTTTTTGACAAATTATGTAAGTTTAACATTATTTAAAGACTGTATAAACCTAACCTAAGCAAGTAATATTGGAAAAATTCACGTTATCTATGAAACAAAATACGTTTATATAAAACAGCAACAACATAAGTATCTTTTGCTGTAACTAACATATCGCAATGACGTAGAACTCTCACAAAATCCAATTATTGCTTAAAGTTTTAGTAAATCTTTACTTGCCTTTAGTTTTTTAACACTAGCCATCAAAATAGTGTGTCGTTTGAGGTCCTGTTGGATGTTGGTCGTACCCAGATAGTTACCACAATAGCTTAAATTATTTAAGGCCTTTATGTCGAATCACTATGTCTATTGTTTATTTAATTTTTCTTTGTTAAAGACTGTTAAGTCGGTGTTTATTACAAGTTAACTTAATGCAAATCATTTAATTAAAGAGGAGCTGCTTTTAGTTTTATTTTATCTTAGAGCATATACAAAACAAGGTTCCAGTGTCAGAAGATGGGAGCTTCCACCGATAATTTAAACATGGTAAATGTTCATAATTTTGGTATTTATTATTGTGCGATACATAATTCATTTCACAAGCTTTCCGCGGAAAACGTGTAATTCAATAAAAGTGGAACACGCATACGCCATGTAGCACATACTCGTACTCACACATTTTTTGCGAGTAATACAAAGGCGACTCGCCAAACGTGAAAAATAAAACTCATTAAAAATATTTGTACACTCATGCAAAAGAATTTTAAAAAGGTATTTAATTAAACCTTAATAAAAACATAAATGAGCGTCATGCCAGGGGCTATGAGCAAAATGTGGTGAGGTGGGATGGGGGCCAGAATGTTGTAGGCTTCGTTACAAAGTGAAAAAATTAAAAGGCAGAAAATATGAACAACAAACGTTCAAACGAGTGAGTGAACGCTTAATGCGCAAGATTTCAATTAACGAGACGCCTGCAACGTGACGACAAAGTCCTGAGCTGCTAAATGGATAAACAGAGCTGGGGGAATGGAATCATACGCCAACACATACTCGTACACCCACATATTCACGGCTCTGCTCTTGCTTGAGCAGAAACAGTAAGCGAGGAGCTGGACGTTGAGGATGACGCTGATGATGACGACAATGACGACAACAGCTGCATCAATAGCTAGGCTCAATGGCATTGCATGTCTCTCCATTAAGGTGCAGTTGAAGGAATGCTGGAAGTTCGATGCTATCTGGTCGTTTCTGATGTTGATGCTGAGCGTAAACAGCGGCAAAGCCCCGTAATTATCGTAATTACAATGAAAGCGCACTGCCAACAATAATAAAGAGCACCAGAAGCTTTCAACAGGGCCGAGCCACGGGCCATCATGCATGTGCACTCAAATTTGAGATGGGCACTAGGTTGAATGAAGTGCAACCAATTTAATGTAATCTGAAGAATATGTTGAAATGGATTTCAATTTATTAGCCACTCAAAGCTGTTCCATTAAAGATTATCATCAAAAGGATTTTATTTAAATCTGAAGACAAGCAATTATAACAAATAAACCTTTTAAATCGCAATCCCGATCAATAACATGATTGTACGAAATACAAAGAATGGAACGTGTAGAGTGTATATATAGTATTGTTAGTAACCATGGCAAAATTAATCGATCTAGACAGTGTATAGTGTCATTAAATTGGAAAATTAATTTGTATCTATATAATACTATTTTTAAATCCGAAGTAATGCAGCACTAGCTTGCACGATTGTTTCGTTCGAGGGGGGATACACTCATTATATAAGGGAACGACTTAAAAATTTAAATAGTTTCTATTGATGAAGATTTTGTCACGCGTCCATCCCTTGCTAGAGACCCTTGCAACAGCACCAATTACAATTACAACAACAGCAACGTCATCATTGACACTTTTTAATTGCAGTTGCAGCGACAAGGGGCACGTTCGAAAACAAAAAGGGAAAATAGCGTGCAACAAAAGTGGGACAACATATTCTGCCACATGTTGCTGGAAACGAATGAAAAGTGCATACATTTCTCTATGCGGCTATACGATGTGTGTGGGTGTGTGTGAAATCTGTGTATGTGTCTGTATGTTTCTGTAAAGTAATGATGATGTTGCTTTCCTTGTTGCCTTGCAATTCTCCCTCCAGCATACGTTGTCCTTCGTCCTCCGAAGTCCAACGTCTGTTGTATGCTTATAGTTATGATGAAAAGAGAAATTCATCAGGCGGCAGAATCAGGAGCAGCAGCAACAAAAACAACAACAAAAACAAGAGCATTGTAGGGCTCGTTCCCCAACATCATCATCAACGACATCTAAGGCAAACAAGGCAAAATTCTATGTCACTTCGGAAATGAGCAAAATCGCACATACGAGTAGATGGTAGGATTCATTTTCAGCCCCAACACCGAGCCTGAAAAAACAGACACCTGACAAGCGGCAGCCCGAACCGTGAAGGCGTTTAGCAAAAAATGCCACAAAACACAACAAGAGTCTATAACAAGAGTAAACTGAGACAAAAGGTAACATCAACACAAGTACCAATTTCAGCCAGGATCCCATGCAGTTCATTAAAATTAATGAAGGTGCAGCTAAGCATATGTGTGAGTTAAATTCTGCTCCATAAAAACATGTATTAAGGAACAGAATTGAAACATAAATGGGGTTTTTGCAAGGTGAAGCATTAATTTAGATTCCACATGAATAAAAACATTCAAGTCATGATATATTTAAAGATTACATACTCAATGCTTGGAGCAACTTTTTTTTTTTTTTTGTTTTCCATCTTTATGATGATTACGCAGCTTGCCAGAATTTCCTATGCGCCAAAATTGATTAATGTTTCATGGCGCGTTTGGCCACTGACTGACAATTTGATTTTAAAAGCGGTTTTTAAGACACCATTTGCCGCTCTCTGGTGGCTGCCTCAAATACTTATGTTCGGGACAATATTAATGATTGCGCTCAAATATTCAGAGGGCGGCAACAAATTAATCTTGTTTAATTTTTGAATTTTTGCCTAATGCTCACCATTAAGAAATAATAATTCAAGTGCTCATGGAGCGTCTTAATTTGCATTTAAATGGTACCATTTGAAATATACTTGTAACCTCGCTGGTTGGAGCTTTATATAATTTTATGCTCTCCTATTTTAGGCATCTTATTAGCATCATCGTTTATCTATAGATGGAAATAGATGGTTTCAGAAACAAACTTAATTTTTACTTGAGGAGAACAAACTTTAGAAAAACTATATACATATATACATTTTATGCTCAGCTGGGATGTTTTTCCAACATAAGTCTATTTAGATAATTGCAAAATTGAAAGTACTTATAAAATGTTGGAGTGACACAAAAATATATGTACATTAGCAAATCACAGAAACATTAAAAAACATTTGCTTGAAAATTCAATTTTACATTCGATTAATTGATTTTTTTTATTATTATCGAATATACTACTGTGTACAAATATAACCCGGAAATTTGACCCTAAAATCAGGCGGATATGTGCGTTTGTATTTTGTGCACATCTCCAAATTATTTTTTCTATTTTTAAATAGTTCTATCCGAAATACTTGTACAAGTAGTTCTATAAAAAAATTGCCAAATTGTTGTGTAAGGAATGGAAGTTCTGCAGCCGAACTTTCGATAAACAGACCTTGTCAAAAACACAAGTATATAACTGGCATAATATGTTCAAATAGGGTCGAGAAGGGCAACTCAAAGTATTTTAGCTCGAAACTCGTCGATTGACTGCTAATGTCATTGCTGATGTTGGCATTTTCAATGAATCAGTCAACACAATTTTAATAAAACTTTCGATCAACGTAAAATTTAAATCGCGTTTTGTTCCAAACCTCCCGTTTCGCTAAAACCAAGACGCATATCGCATTCTGTAGTCAGCAGCGTTCTCTTGATTATCTACGTGTGTCTTTTGGCAATTTAATAAATTGAAAATACAACTCCTAAGCGAAGAAGAAAGTATTGGCATAAGTGAATTGAATCTGGATGAGATTGCTTTGAAGGCAACAAAGTAAATTTTAATGAATAAATAAAGATACAAGGTCTTATTTGGTGGGTGCATATTAAAGTTTATTACGATTCAACATTAAATTGAATATGACTCACTAATTGATAAAGAGCGACTGCAGCTAATATTCTCTCATTAAATTTCAATAATTTGTATCAATTACAAATATTTTCGCAATTAAATGTTCTGGGAAATTCCTTGCACTTCCGCACAACGTTTCTTGGTTTGTGGAAATTAATATTGAATGTTATTCATGTTTAAATAAGTATTTGAATTTCTTTTAGTTGAATGTACGTTATCTATGTACGAGTCACCTACGAAGTATTGAAACAATAAATAAAATATCTTTAATAAATAAGTCTAATGGAAATATAATTTTATTTTTTAGATGTCGAATATATCAGATGCTTAAGATGTTAAATAAGGTAAGTAGCTCTCAGAATATCAACTTCGTTCTATCCAAATTATTATAAAGTGGTTTTAAAACAATAGACATTTACATTTCTATTGACTGGCAAATTAAACTGCATTTCTGCATGTAGTTTACTTTAGAGCCTAATGACCTGCCCATGAAGTGTACGAAATGTCGAATGCTTACTCATCGAAATGTGGGTTAAATCTAATATAATGACTTAAGGCTTTAACGACCTACCCATGGGGGGATGAATGTAACGAACACAATGGACAGCTTCATGGGCACACTGCTGGCACCGTAGCCGAGAATCGAATTTCGTGGAACATATTCCATTTACTTTGTTGATTTCCTGTTTACTACACACATTGTTTTTTGGTTGATTAATAGTCTACCAAATGCATATAGATAACAGCCTAACCGATTTTGTGTATTTTAGCACGATGTCGAATTTAAGTTGATGACAGTTCAATGATTACTTTCCTCTAGGCAGCCATCACACATCCACATTCAAAAAAAATATATCCTAAGCTTTTGTTAAGCTTCAGCACTTAACCATGTCGTAGGCCGATTTGTTGCTACTTTTTGTTATTCAACAATGCCTAAGCTGGAAGCGGTTGGTTTTGATTGATTTTTACCATACTAGTATAGTATGTAGCTATGGCTGAGTGTGGGCGTATTTAGTGTACATTTGTACACTTCCATCTCTCAGCTCTCGACGCTCCATCGTTAATATAAATACAAATGTACTCAAATATTCATAACAGTTTTTTTCTTCCTCTCTAGTTTGATTCGTTGTGTTGTTGTTATTGTTCATTGAGTGCCTGCGGCAAATACAAATTGTATCACTTAATGCCTGATTTTTGTTGTTGCTTTGCTTCCCTCCCTGTTAAATCGAAGCCTCTTCTGACCCATTTATGCTATGACTGGGCGTTTTGTTGATGATTTGCGTGTGTATCTGAATAATTGATGAAATGACAATATTTCGATGTGTCAGCATCGTCAGCGTTGTTATTGTGGTTGTTGTTGCTATCGTGTGGCATCAGCTTCAACCTCATGTTCTGATTGTTGGCTGCTCACACCCGGCAAAAATAGAACGCAACGATTGCTCTATACTCTTAGAAGTGCTAAGAACTATGCGCAAAAATGAATTCATATACAATAACCTTCCCGATTAGCATATATTCTTGCGGTTCGGTTATACTTTCTTATCCATTATGGTCTTTATGAAATGATTTATCTAAGCAACGTTCTATTCCAGCAGGTTGATTTGTGAAAGAAGAAAGCAGCATTGTATTTGTTAACCTGTATTTTAAGATGATAAATCTGAATGTACAGATTCAATGCTAATGTTAAATATAGAAAAAGAAAAAAAGAGAGCAGCAGTGTTCAGTTTGCAGAGCTTCTCCCCATTCGGATTTTGGGTTTTAAACATTTTTCCCACTTTACTAAAATATTTAAACTTTCCATCTAAAAATCAAAATTTTACATGATAGGGATTGAATTAAAATTCTAATTTCAAATTTAAGCTACAGGACAAAACTGGACTGGACATTTACATACACACACTATTACTTCTAAAGGATTATAAGGAAATAAGATGTACACATGATCCGAATACCTTTGTCGGGTGGGCGGCGACAACAACAAAAAGGGACAGACGCGTTGCGTGCGTATGTGCCTCGAATATTAAGCGCCGACGTTGCATCATCAATACCCACTCTCACTCACTCACAGATCCAATCTGACAGTTTTGCTTACAAATGATAAGCCTAACTCAACGGAGGAAGGAGAGAAAACCTTTACCTCAAGTGACACGCGCAAAAGTATGCTATGGCTTATGCTTTTAATGTGCAACACTTTACAGTTAGTTAAGTGAATTGAATGCATAAATTACATTTCGAGTTAATTGAAATTCATTTGAGCAAATCAAATTAAGTCAAAAATAAACGTGCCAGAAAGGAAAAGGACGCAAGACTCCTTCGGACAATTCAGGGCCATGTGATTCATTCATAACGATAAATTAAGACAAAAAGTCTACGCACACATTGTGAGAAGTGGGGACAGGAGTGAGAAGAAAGGCACCAGCAGCGATGCTTCTATGGCGACGATGAGTTAGTTGAGTAGGACAAGGCGAGAGTCCCCCAAGGACACTTTTATTCAAAAACTTTGTGCCATTGTCACAGCAATATCCTTTTTGCCGTGCACTTCCTGCGCTGCGACTTTGTCGTACGCCTTGACTACGGCACGTACACATAAATAACCTTAAGCAGTACAAGTGATTTCACATTTAAAATGGATAAAACATTTGTTGTCAGCCAGCCATGAACCAGGGACGTATAAGTGAATGTGGACGGGGATGTGGGGCCGTGGATGTGTCGCTTCGTGTCCAACAAATAAAAAGGCTCTCAAAGGAAGCAACAGTTTCCAGTTACCCACATCAACTTGGCTTTAATGTTGCAAGAAAAAAACAAAAATAAGAAAAGGTTAACCAAAACTCAATTACACAATATCACAAAATCGCAAATAAATAAATTAAGGACACCCAGACAAATCGGCCCAAGCGCACTCCCTGCTTTGTCAATGCCTCGTCGGAAAACCTAAAAAGCGTTGCAAAGTTTGTTTAAATCGAAATGAAATAGTGACACAGGCGCTGGCATAAAACCAAAGGCAAATAGCAAGCGAAGGAATACAAAAGATGCGGCCATAGAAAGCAGGCGATGCAAAAGCAACAAGAAAAAGGTTAAAACAAATATTTATTTAGTACATACATTTAACAGTGGTGCAGGAGTAGAAAAAAAACTTAAAAATTAAGGTATAAAAAGTTTAGAAAAATAGCCTTTCATATTTAAATCATATTCCCCAAAGGCGCTTTTACAAAAACGCCCTTAAAATTCAATTCATTTGTATTCAATGATGTTCAATTTGATTTAATCAGTAGGAGCATGCAAATGTCCATTGAGCTTTCTAAGATAAGCCAATGCCATAAAAAAAGGCAGAGGTGTTAAGGTCATGTATAGGTTTTTATTTTATGTTTTATACATTTAATAAATTCACAAATATGGGCAAAGTTACAAGAACACTTGATATCACAATGACAAAATTGCATTTGTCGTCAAAAAAAAAAAATAAAAATAAAATAAAAGACGGTTAAATATTATGAAATAAAATAAATAAATAAATATAAAAGAAATGTTGGATGCAGAAATAGAAAGAAAAATAAATAAAATTAAAACAAAAACTATAGAACTTCGGACCTGGAAGGGAATATTTATGCCAGTTATTTGTAGACCTTCAACTTACTCTAATTTGAAAACATCACCAAAGAATGTAGCTCAACATGTGATCCAAAACTTTAAATTTTAATTGATAACTTATACTTGTAACTCAAATATAAAATAAATACAGGCGTTAAAGAATCCACAAAGCAAATGTATTTGTGGTTTTTTTTTATAATACACAATAAAAAATTTAAAAAAGATTTTTAATTACCTTTAAAATGCATCTTAGTTTAGAAATATATCGACCATAAAAAGTGTTAAGAACTCCCCTCCCCAATATTTTGCTTGAATAAAATTGTTGATATATTTTATTGATTTGAAATTTTGATAACGTTCAGACCGATATAGTCGACAGTATGCGAATATATTAAATAATAACTAAATTCCACCGTAAATTATTAGTATGTTTTAGGTTTTATTAGTATGTTAGCATACTATATTTTAACACTTGTTGGTTATATTTTAAGTGAGTGAACGACAGTAAACATTGTAAATATATAAACAATATTAAAAAAATAGCAAGTTTTTTTTAGTTTAAAGTTTCACTTTAAAATGGACTGTAGCTTTTCATTCGCTTTACAAATTTCCACACGAAATCAGAATTTATTGCAAGTCCTACAAATAGTTGGAACCACTCCAAGGCTGCTCTTTACTTTCTCTTACTTCTTCTTCCATTTGGGCCAATGTGGCTTCACTTCGCTGCTGTGGTATATGTAATTACATGGCGTAGAAAGCAGCAGGACTAGGGCACAAATGTGGCCAACTACACCCACATACTATACACTGTGACAAACTAGACGGCTTTGTGGATGTGCACATACATCTATGTGTATATATAGTATGTATATGTAGTGTGTCCGGGATACGTGGCTTTATGCTTAAATAAACATTTGTCGTCGCTGTCTTTGTGCTACAGTTTACAGAGCACCCCACGGCAGTCAGTTTAGTTTAGTATGGTTTGGCTTGGCTTGTCTTGGCTTGGTTCGGTTTGGTTTGGTTTGATGTGGACTTGTCTGGTCAAAGCCAAATCGTTGATTGCATAAGTTGATGGCCAACACATGTCTAAGATATAGACTGCCCGATATGTATCTCGCCTGTACATTTCATTGCATGCCATGGCACTTACTTACGTTTTGTTGTTGTTGTTGTTGTTGTTGGTTGCCTCTAATGATGTCTGTGAAGCTTGCATCGAGCGTCTAGCACATGGCTACCTACGCTTTGCTCGGGGCCTGCAAAAAGTAGAAAAGAAAGGGTATGTGAGTGAGTGTTGGGGATAGAGAACTGAAAATGAAAGTTATGTGCTCGAAAGTTGCTTTGTGGCAGCCGATAGCTTTATAGATAGCTGCCTAGATGGAAATATCGCACTGTATTTTCACACTTTGCATTTGGCATGCGATGGTCGTCGCTGGGGACTGAGAATTCGCAGCCGAGCGATGTCAGAATACATGCAATGAACCTTGAAAAAAAAGCCAGCTTGGCACTTACTTGGCTAACAGGGCAGCGATTGTGAGGGTTGTTTTTGTTGCTGCTGCTTTTGGTTGTATTTTAATCAATCGATTGCAATCGCCAGTTGGCCAAGCACGTGCACGCAAACTGAAAATAAAATTGGCAAGGAACGACGACAAAAATCTGTAAATGCCAATGCGAAAAGTTGAACATTTTTGTCAGGCAAGTGCCAGTTGAAAATGCACGTGAAAATGTCAGCCAACATATACATACATACATACATACATACACGTATATGTATATCTGTACGTGTGCCTGCGCTTCGCCATAACAATAATTGCAATGTGGCTGAAAGCAACGAAATTACAGCCCAGTCTAAAGGAATGCAATGCCAAATGTCACAGCGCAAATTGCTGAACGTTATGCAAAATTGACAGCAAATGATAATGGACAGAGATCATAAAGACAGCCAAATCGAAAAGCTATAAAAAAGACAGAAAAATATCAGGAGTGAGAAACCCCAGGATGGCTGAAGGAAACCGTCGCATTTTGTTAACATTTTTATTAAATTGTTTTTGGTTTCTTTTTTTTTTTGGTTCTTTTTCTTGCCTTGCCCTGACGCAAGGTGTTTGTTATCGTTTGTTATATTGCTTGTTATGCAATGTAATTTATATGAAATACATGTATGTATGTATATACATACATACATACATACATACATACAAATGCTGTCATAAACGCCGCATCGAGCCAAGGACACAAAAGCAATTTCGCATGACATTACAGGCAGACAAACAAACGGCAGTACAACAATGGATACAATGAGCAACAAGAACGACGACGACGATAGCTGAGGGTGTGGGACGGCGGAGTCCAAAAGCCAAAAAGTACGCGCTTGGCATAAATGATAAGCTTTGAAAAGCGGCAATAGGCGCAGACAGGATGGGCGACTAACTGTACTCTGTGTATAAGTGGGTGGTGGCATGCGGTGTGCAGTGTGTGTGTGTGTTGAGGGGTGTTTAGCTTCGTGTGCTTGGTTGACTTTTGAATACTTAACAGGATAATGAAATGTCAAAAGTGCGTTGCGTTAACTGCCCCCTCCAAGAAACGAAATTTTTGTGGCCGCTATTGCGGTCTGGCCCGCCTTATTATTGTATATGCTTTGTAGTCCGGAAATCGTATACAAACTTTGGGAAGATACACATCTTAGGAGAATCGATTAAATTGCTATTATACAAATAATGAATACTACAACTGAATGTGGAAGAATCAGTCTAACATATTTTAGACTTTAATCTATTATATCTATATACTATTACATCAATCTATTATAGTAATAATGAATGCAATTGAATTTGGAAGAATCAGCCTTATATATTTTCAACTCCAATCTACTATATCTATATACTATTATATCAATCCATTATACTAATAATGAATGCATTTGAATGTTGAAGAGTCAGTCTAAGATATGTTAGACTTTAATATATTATATCTACAAGTATATACTAGTATATCAATGCATTATACTAGTAATGAATACAAGTGAATGTGGAAGAGTCAGTCTTATATATTTTCAACTCCAATCTACTATATCTATATACTATTATATCAATCTATTATACTAATAATGAATGCAATTGAATGTGGAAGAGTCAGTCTAAGATATTTTAGACTTCAATCTAATATATCTACAAGTATATACTATTATATCAATGCATTATACTAGTAATGAATACAACTGAATGTGGAAGAATCAGTCTAAGATATTTTAGACTTTAATATATTATATCTATATACTATTACATCAATCTATTATACAAATAATGAATACAAATAAATGTGGAAGAGTCAGTCTTATATATTTTCAACTCCAATCTACTATATCTATATACTATTATATCAATCTATTATACTAATAATGAATGCAATTGAATGTGGAAGAGTCAGTCTAAGATATTTTAGACTTCAATCTAATATATCTACAAGTATATACTATTATATCAATGCATTATACTAGTAATGAATACAACTGAATGTGGAAGAATCAGTCTAAGATATTTTAGACTTTAATATATTATATCTATATACTATTACATCAATCTATTATACAAATAATGAATACAACTGAATGTGGAAGAGTCAGTCTTATATATTTTCAACTCCAATCTACTATATCTATATACTATTACATCAATCTACAAGTATTATATTAATAATGAATGCAATTGAATGTGGAAGACTATGTCTAATATATTTTCAGCTTCAATCTGAGAGAATGTTTTAATTGAAGAATTGGGCTTTGTCATAGTTTTAAACTAATATGAGAAATATTTATTAATTAAATAATTTACATATATGACATAAACTTAAATAAATAATGGGAGGTGAATAAGTTTGACAGCGCTAAATGGAAGAAAATAACGTTTGTCTAATGGTTGTACTGTTGCCCCAAAGGCTTAATTTTTTTTGTTTACATCATATATATATTTATTGTGGCCAGCAGCTCGTATGAGGCTAATTCAAGCAAAGTTTTTAAAGCTAATCAGAGAGGTTCTTCCAATTTATGGAGAGAGATTTTGAAAACTTTATTAATTTTTTTTCGTTCTTCATTTCAAATAAATATGAATATTACAAAATGTGAAATCATTTTAATAATGATTACTATTTTCTCATATGAATCCACAACGAAGATTAAAGCGAATGTCGGCCGCAAAAATTGTGGTTGGTTGGTTGTAAAAGCTCAATAACCACATTTGATTGAGGTGTACTTAAAATGTATTTGAAATTCACAAAAAGTCAACAAGGGCATGTGATCTTCGTTTCAACAATGATAATGTTTTTTCCAGATGACTTTTTATTGTATTCTCGCTTAAGTGAACGTCACGGCATGCCGCGCACATTAAATCATAAAAAGGGCAGGCGGCGAAAAAATGAAAAATGTGTTACCGTTCGCTTCATTGTTGACTGGGCTAGTGGGTTGGTGGGTTGTTGGGTTGTTGGGTTTTTGGAGCGGCTGGCTGGCTGGCTGGCTATTTTGTGTTTACATAAATTTAAATTGACGCAAATGCGCTTTGTCGCCACAACGAAAGTGAAACCAAAACAAAAACAACGAAAATGTATACATTTGGGGAAAAAAGCAGCAAATGAGAGTCCAAAGTGGCTGGCTGGATGGTATGGTCTGTGTTTTTGTATCCCTGGCCTTGACGTCCGCCTCAGCCCCGGAAGCATTAAATAACCGCCATACAACTGGCATTCTCTGGCTTTTTAAGGTCCATCTGCCCGGACATACTGCCAAATGATAAACTTTATAATTTATGACAGTTTTTGTTGTTGTTTTGCTTTTGCTTTATTTGGTCTGTTTATTTATTTATGTTGATTGCCACACACATTGGAGAATTGCATATTTATTTATATAATTTGCACTATTAGCATAAACACAGACAATTTCGAGATGTCTAAATGTTGTAGTGTGGATATAATACGAATATTAAGTTAGTCCTGCCTGCTGGGCTTACAGTTTAGCTTTCAATTTGCGCAAGACAAGAGTTACAATAAAACAAATCGAAAGGCAGTCGGCCATTTTAATCAAGTGAGCAGCGGCCGAAACTTTGGGAGACTGGTTAGTTCCAGTGCTAACCCAGTTGAATTGGCCAGAACATGAACATAATGGCCTGCTATTGCTTCTGGCAAGGCTGCTAAATTGGGAAGTCACTCTTCTCTAATGGCCTTGCTTGTAGTTCTTGGAAAAAGTTCCCTTTTTTGTTTCCATGAATGAAAGTTGCGCGCTGAACACTTTCTTCAATAAATGAAATGAAAGAAGCGAAAACAGTAATCAATAAACTAAATGACCGTTCCACTCAACCAATTCAACACATGTGAGTAGCGGAGAAATATTCGTGGGAAAGGGTATGTGGACATGATTGAGAGTGTGTTGTAAACGGATTAGCTTGCACTCTACAAAAAGATTTAGGAAAGACATTGATGAATTATATGTAACCAGAGAGCACTGCAAGAAGTTAAAAACAAAAACAGTAATGTGGCCTCTACTGCACATTTTCAGCGAAAGTTTAAAAAAATAATGAATGGTATACAAGAGAGTACTGTTTTCTGACATATTTCGAAAATGTATTATACTCGTATATACGTTAATACATATGTATGTACACTATTCACAAACGGAAATATATTAACATAATTGATATATGAATAAGGAGCCTGAAGAACCGGGAGCCAAGGATGCACTAAATGCTAAATTTTCAAAAAAGAAATATGTCATTCTATTCTCATTTTAAATAAAAAGTAAAGGCCTTTAAAAAAACACTAGCTCTTTCGAAAGACAAGGCGGCACATTTTAAAAATGAATCCATATTCAATATTTTATGTTCAGTTAATTCTTGATTGTTCACATTTGAAAGGATTCATTTTGCATCTAAAAGGTGACTTAGTTAAATGATGTTATGAGTGAGATAAGTGTCTGCTATGATTGATATATTGATTATCATAACGGCAGTTATCGACATTGCCGTTCTTAAAATTCGTATGCATATCATTATGCTTATTATTGCAAAACATAGTGTTGCTGATTAATTTGGAGATAGATGCCAACAGAAATAAAAGGTAGTTTTAAAAGAGTAAATTTTAAATAAAATGTTGAGTTACTTTTTGCATTATTTGAACTCTGCAGAACTAAATATAATTTTGGTAACTAAAGTGGAATTTCAATAAATGTTGCCCCCATTTAGGAAACTCTTGGCGCTGTTATATCTCTCCAGTTACTATT